AAGAACACTGTAATCCTGGCAGCAGATGGGGCGAGATTGTCGGGATGGATGTGACAAGTTTGAAATGATTTATGATATGTCAAAATTAAATTCGCTTCCGCAATATTGTTGAATACTCCGTACTGTATATGTTATGAAAAATTATTGGGATTAATAAAGTGTGTTTGAAAAGTTTTAAATTTTTACGATTACCAAGTTAATACTTTAGTCCGGAAGGGGCTGCAGACCTGGACGGATTAGGGTGTTACATTTTCACTTCTACTGCAACTTGATTATGATCAGAGGTGAGCATTTCATAGCAATATCGGACACAGAGCATTCTTAATCCATTTACCTACCAAGAAATTTAAATTTCAATTAAAATAAGATAAGATAAAATGTGTGCTAATGTTATCTTATTTCACTTTATAAACAAAAAAGACATAAGACTTACATCATTTTTGTTCAAATCCATCTTCCACGTATTCAAATTCCCCTTGAAAGTTTCCAATTGCCTCATGGCTATGACACCAACACCCATACCTTCCATGTTCCCATAACATGCCTTCTTTGTTAATTTAAAAGAAAATTTGGAAATTTTACTTGCTTTTTGCTCAAGATTTGTTTCATTGAAATACTGGCACATTCTCTTTTTCTGCAAATCAGTGAGACTATATTAGATTAAGTTGAAGAATAAACAATGAAGTTCAAGCTTAAATCAGTATTACCATGCTTTAAAAAGGATATTACCAAACATTCAACACATGTATCATACACCTTAGTTTTATCTTCAATCGAATCAAGGATGGTTATCTTCTCTTTTTTCATGTTAAAACACACTATATAAACATCATCATTGTCTTCTTCATCAGCAACCAAGAAGAATACCTGCAGTAAAATAAGAACAAATAAATGATATCAGAATAAATGAATACATTAGATACAAAACACTAAAAACAAACAATTCCATGTAGCTGACCAAATCTGCAGTACTCATATCAATGTCGCTATAAAACTATTGTTCTACCAATTCCCTATCAGCGATTTCACAAAAGTTTTCATGAGCATCGTCATATAAACTGATCTTTACAAACTCAACCTACATGAATAATGTAAATTTTATGTCAGTGTCACATTTGAACTTCCATGCTAAATATCTCCACTTTTATACACAAAAGTACATGAATAATGTAAAGAGGTTACATACAAAAAAATTCGCGCTAAGGAAAATTCGATAGACATCTGACTTGCTTCGATGCTTTTCCTCAGCATTCAAGAATTGACACCAAATCTGTAAAATAAGAGACGAGACGCACCCTTCAGAAAAGGATATTAAATCGCTTCGCTTCATTTCACAAAACATGTCTTTGTACAAAACTTCCGTGTAATTAAAATTATGGAAAATACGACAAAATAAATATCAAAACAATCTGAATAATAATAATAATAATTAAATTAAGTAACTTTTTTACAAAACACTAACCCAAGTTCAAGAGATTTGTTGAATACGTAGTCCGTGAGAACCTTCTCAGCACGGCTCAACCGTGAGAGTGCTTGCATGTTTCTTATCCAAAAAGGAGAACATAAGGCGCGTGCAAATTATTTCTTACTTTGCAGCTGAAATCGTCTTTTAATGAATACATGACTTCGAACAGGGCTAGGACCAGATGCAATTTCTTGACTAGTAAAGTGACTATATGGTGGGGTTGGCTGAAAAAGATAAGTTTCTTCTTGCTGCAACTACACTCTTTGGGAAAGGTTCGGTTTGGGGATGACTCTGTACATCATCTGCCAATGCAGTGAGATTGCTTGTTTGAGCTGCGCCATCTCCATTCTTTGTTTGAATCTCCTCATACTGAATCTATTCATGTTGAATCTCCTCATTTTGAATTTTCTTTTCCTCTGGTGTAAGCCCTAAGCTAAATGATGGCATAAACAAGTCTTTGTTGTTGGTCTCAAGGTTGTGCTTCACCTAGAAAAACTCCATTTCAAGTCGAGATATTTCAGCCAAGAAAGAATGTCTCTCGTGGACTACTTCGAATTGCAGTTTTGCATTTGTTTCCAAAATCAGAGTACCTGATATTCTTGGACTATTACCAACAACAACAATCACTTCTGCAACAGTTTCACTACTAGAATAAGTTGAATTAGCTGCCAATGTTAGTGTGGGCTTGCAACCCTCGCAATTTTGTGTCCGCTAAATCGACACAAATAACTTAGTTTTTTTTATGTTAGTCCAAGTGACGATAAAATGTGTAAATATTTTGGTAAATTGCTTTTATAATTCTAAAAATATGTTTGTGAATGCTTATCCAACACGCTTAAGTGGAAAACTAAGAATGAACTAGTGTCGGGTTGCCCGACGCAAAATTTATGTCAGTTTAATCGACACTACTTATTTTAAAATTTCCCAGCGATTTCTTTTGTCGGTTGGGCCGACACAAAACAAAAATTTTAAAGCCCGCCCATTTGCATTTTATTTTCATCCATTACCCGCCTTCCCTGGCCGCCCGATAATAATATTCCCATTTACTCTAGGATTACCTTTAATAAAAACACCAACTATATTACGCCAAAGACTTCCCATCCGTGCTCAACTACTGGCGACAGATTGAAGAGAGAACTTGGGTGCTGCTGCCCTAGTCATCGGGAATCACTACACCGTCTACATACAGTCCAGCGGCCCAGGTTTTTACTTAACATTCTTTTTGAGTTTGTGAATTAGGTTAAATTACATCCCCAATTTTTGAAGTTCATTCATATAAAATTTGTATTGTTCGAAATTTTAAGTGAATTCATTGAAATTTTTAGTTCGAAATTTCAGTGTATTTTTATGTTAGAAATCACATCTCCAATTTCAAAGTATTTTTACATTACCAATTTCAGTTTATTTTAATGTTAGAAATTATGCCCACCAAGTGTTTGATAAAATGCCAAACTTATCAAGAAGTTTTATACCCTGTTATGTTTTTACCCTTTGAGGCTTTGGACTAGTTTTATTTCACGTTGCAGATGAATTTGTTTTTTAGAAGCCTATACACTTAAATACTTGATAATTGATAATACACCTAAATAGTTGATAATTTGAAACAAATGAATCACAACGCCCTTAAGGCTGCTTGTGACAACTCAAAAAAAAAGAACACTAATGGTGTGGAACATTAATACAGTTCTGTAGGTATTTTAATTGATCAAATTTATTAAAAACAAATAGACATGATATTCTGAGTTTGTACAGTAATTTGATATATCCATATTGCTCTGTAGAATATGCCAACACTCTTCTTGGCATCACCAAAGTTCAAAAGAGGCCATCGACAAGTTGCCTCAAACCTAAGTCCTTTAAAAGGATTTGCTGAGATTCATGTTAAGCTATATTGCTAAACTACCTCTAGGCCAGACTAGCATATTCATGTGTCTTCAATACATCAACATTGTATACGGTCGATCTGAAGGTGTCTCCGCCCCCCGGACCCCAGACTAGGGGCACGTCGCCCCCCTTTACCCACCGAGTTGCTGACCAGGCAACAACCATCATAAGAGGAAACAAAAATTAGACAAAAACTAGCAATGCTGTGCACAAATCAAGGGGTTGCATTTGCCTACATTAAATAATCAACACTAAGGCATTACATTCAGTTTTCTTGTTTAATTGATTATTGAATTTGAAAAATTTATAATTGCACTCTTATTTTGTCTAAGGTTAATTCATGGCGAACATGAAATCTGTCTCACACCTCGATGTAATTGAGCAAATGGTATGATAAGCATATATAATACTTAATTATAATCTTTTATTCCATATAATATTCATCGAGTAATTTTTTAGGCATATTATCAGTACGCATTGGGAGTAGTGGTTATAATATATTCTAAAATGTATTGAAACACTGTTGTTTTAAAAAAGGTGGTGTAGCAAACATAGGTATAGTAGTGCGAATCCAGGTATAGTAGCAGTAGCAGTTTTAGTTTCGAAACAATGGTATAGTAGTGAGAACTGCAACACATGATTTGCCTTTTATTAGTGTAAATTTGGTAGGTGACGACAAAGAGCATAAAATTTAGGTGAAAATTTCAAATTTGTTAGGTGACAGAGAGCATCAAAGTGATATCTAAATGAAATGGTGAGTGGAGGTGCACATAGAACTTGTTTATTACCATTTCACAGAATATATCACATAACCAGAACTGCTAATTTGTTTCATTACTTTATATAGTCTCTTTTGTTTCTGTTTTTTTAATTTTAAAGAGTAAAGATAAACAACGTCCTGTGGAAGTGGATGAGGCCTTTTTAGTCACTCGCCAGCGTAAGGATGGAGCTTGGGTCGATTCACGTTCTATGGAAACATATGTAAGTACTAATTTTTGTAAGAACACATTATAACTATTAAATATTCAAATATGTTAAGTCATTAAATATAATTTTTACGTTTTAATACTTCAGAATACATATCAAAAGAAATTAAAGGAGATTGCTGAAAGTGAAGATGGTTCTACAAATGGCACAAGTGATATCAACAGCCGTAAGAAATTAGCAATCTGGCAAGAGACCGTTGGGGGAAAGAGCAAAGGAAAAGTCTATGGGACGGCTGATTTGTCGTCAAATTTTACGCGTGAAGGAGCAACAATATTCTACACTACTCAAGAGTGTTGTGATGATGAACTCAGCACTCATGATGTTCGATTACAAAAAGAGATTGAAGAGTTGCGTCATGCTCAAGAAGCAGAACGTTTAGCTCATGAGGAGGAGCGTCGTGCACAAGAAGAAAAAATTGCAGAGATGGAGAAGTCAATGGAGCTGATAGTGTCACGTCTTGCAGCTATTGAGGGTGCAAAAAACTCAAAAAAAAGAAGCGTCCTCATCTTCATTCTGACGAGAGTGCTCATGGCTTTCAAGGTTCGAAACGGCGTTCATCTTTATAAGGCGCAAAATATTTATTCTCACTCTTAATGAAATGTTTTGACATTAAACTTATGCTTTGGAATACCTTCTATAAGCTTTCAATTGTTCGTATTACTCTAGTATGGATCATGAAATTAAAGTATTAGTGATTTTTATGAATTTTTTGCGATGAATGACATTAAAGTCTCTATTATGTTTATGTTGTATATATTAAAATATGTTTAAACTTCCCTCCCTTTCAATATGAATGTTTTTGTTTATAAGAAATTTTTTATTAAAATAAATAAATAAATTGTGTGGGTTAAGCCCTTGCTAATATTCTTTTATATTTGAACTTTAGCAAGGAGTTCTTCCACACAAAATGTTGAGACAAATATTTGGGTGTTTCATTTTATGAGGGCATTTTTAACGCAAATTAGCAAGGATTTCACCGACACAAACCGGGCTACAAATTTGCGAGGGGATAGCGAACACTAACTAGCGTGGGCTTAGCCGACACTAATTATTGAGGGTTAAACCGACGCAAAATTGTGAGGAGCAGGCCGACGCAAACTAGGAAGGGTTTGGCCGACGCTAAGAATTAGCATCGAGCAGCTTAGTGACGGCCTCGATACCGACGCAAGGTCGACGCAAAGCTTCCTTTTGTGGCGGCTTTTACCTTTTTGTGAGGGCTTTTGCCCCACACTAAATCGCCATATTCTAGTAGTGTTTGTTGCATTCTCTTGACGGCATTTGAATTTAGGAACTCATTATTCAAGCCTCTACAGACGATGTCCCACTTTGATATTTTTGCACCAACTCTTTTGCAGCAGCCCGTGATACCTCTAAAACGTCATTCTAAAACAGGTTTTTATAAAAGAAAAAAGTGTGTCAAGTTACTTTGATATTCAGTGCTTCAACTTCAAATTATCCACTCAAAGTCAAACCAAATAAATATGAAAAAGAAACAAGAGCATAATCACTTCATTCATCCAAGCAAGGAGTTAATTTAGGAGACTAAGAGGTTGATTGAATAATCATAGAGTGTGTTTGTGTAAAAATGGATTGGATGGCGGGTAGTGAACTGAATTATAGAATAAAAAAGCAAAGCACTAGTGTAGGCAAGAATTTTTGTCCTTGCTGGTGTGAAATCTATGACACTATATGATGAAGGAACGGTGGAGTTATGGTATTTTTCAAGCGATTTACATTCAAAAATAAAATGTGTCCTTAATTGAACATAAAGAAAACTGATGTGTGTGTGTCGTACAATTACTTGTGATGGTGATGTTTTCCCAGGAGGATCTTCAAGAGACGGGTTTTCATTTGAAAACAACCCTTTATTGATTTGTGGGCCCACGCTACCACGGCCAAAACCACCTATTTACAGTATTATTCAGTCACGTGTAACTTAAAAAAGCATAAACCTCCTAAAAATAAGTTGCACTAACCTGATTCCCGCTCCAATCCTTCTCTTTCCTTAAGCTTCTGGGAAGTCCAACCTAGCATAGTTGAAAAAGTTCTAGGCACTACTCTCATTCCGAAGACAACCCTATCAACATAAAACATCTAAAAAGATAAAAAATGAGTATAACACAAACGACTCTGTAAAATATAAAATGCAAACTAGTGTGTTGGAACTTATAAAGTTTTATGTTATTAAGGAAAATGAATACATACCATTAAGAACAAAACAGGCCCAGTAAAATAAGGATTCGACTTTCGCTTCCATTGAATGGTAGAATTAATTAAACTGGTCAAGGTATACTTGCACCAGTTTAATTTATTCACGTTACTCAAATCGACTAAGGAGCGCAACACCCTTGAATTTGCAAATGTATTCGTGTTTCCGGATATGCAGGTAGAGATGAAGAACACCATAAAATTGAGCTTAAAGCCTTCACTTTACCCCGCCATTCCTAAAATTATATCGGGCATAGCATTGGTACGTGGAAAATCCCTCTGTAAACCCCACTCATCTCTCCACTTAAGGACCAAAGTCTTATAATCCTCAGGGTCTGTTGGCTTGTTTTGTGCTTCTAGCACATCAAATGGTCCGGTCGGGAGGCCAAGAGTTAGATGGACATCCTTTTCTGTGACACCCTTTTTCGTCTACCGTGAGGCTCAATCGGTTTATCTTCCTTTTAAAACTATGTTTTAAAAAAACGTTTTTCTTGTCTTTCTGTCTTTATTTTGCCTTTCACCAGCTCCTCCTCTCCTCCCTTTCTAAAAACAATCTCTTTTGTTTTTGTTTTTACTCTTATTTTCTCTATTTTTAGAGAGATGTTGGTTCCAAGATCTCAATGTCCAATTCGGATGTTGAGATCCATCAAACACAATGTCATATGAATCTTCAAGCAAAATCCGCTGAAACCATTCTGGAATTGAAACTGGTCCTGCTGAAACCATTCTGGAAAATGAAGCCACTCCCCAGCAGGAAGACCAAAAGCAAACAGCATCTGAAGAAAAGTTTTTGAAATTCTTCCAAATTCAGGTTCAAGAGATCCTCACAACCCTTTGTGAGATCTCCAATCAACCTGAATCTGAAAATCCGGAAAGATCAACAGAAAATCTGGAAAAGTCCACTCCTCCAGAAGCTACAGAGGAAGAAGCTCAGGAGGAACCAGCAGTAGAAACACTGAGAAACTTTGAAGAAGCTGAAGAAGGAGCTCAAATAGCCAGACTGGAAGCTAGTGAAACTCCAGTTACTATTCTTGAGCAACAAACCAAAGATGTAGTAAGAGATTCACTTTCTAGGGATATCTCAAACTAGGGCAATGCACAAACTGAGGAAGAGTCAGTGAAGACCCTGAGGATTGATGAAGAAGAAGCTGAGCAAGGAGAAGAAGCTGAATCCCTTCCTCTGCGACTCTATCATAGGGTACCTTCTTCAAATCAGGTAACCAACTTTCACTTCCATAGTTCTTCCACATCCACCTTTCCGGATGAGATGCCGGAATCCTGGACCAAGAAAGCCTCATTCAGGCAAGACCTAGAGAAGGTAGAAATGAGACACAGTCAAATTCTAGAGAAGAATGAAGAGAAATATAGCTCAAACCTTAAGGAAATAAGCCAATCGGTGAACAAAACTGTAGAGATCATCTCTCTATTGAGTAATTCTGAGAGCAATACAATTATGGCTTATGCCTCTGACTGCCATCTTCAACTCAAAGAAGCCATGGAAATCCAGCTGCAGATTGCCAGTGTCACAACCAGTCTTCAGAAGCAGATGTCATTTCTCCAAATGGACATCAGGTCAGCCCTGGCAGTATCATCAGCAAACCAAGTGGTAACTCAAGATTACCTGAAGATTCTTGCTGACAATCAGAAGGAGGCATTCAAGCTTTTCAAGCACTTTGGAACCTTCATTGCCAAACACAAACTGGATGTGATTGTCCAACACAAAAGTTTACCTCCAATTCCAAAGCTTCCGATTCAAGCCAAACAGGGAGAGATCGCGTACATTCCAACTCATTTGAACATGACGGAACTGATTTTGGAGGCCCAGCAGAGCAATCCGGAAAACTCAATTCAACATCTGTCAAACAATGAGTTTGATGGAACAGATGAGTTAGGAACCTTTGCCTCCCACTTCGCAAATGATGCTCAGACAAAGGAGAGATATAACAATCTCAAGCGCATCAAGGAAGAATGTGGAGTTATGCAAAGCACTGGTGAGGCTGTCGGATCATCTAAACGCAAGAAGAATTGAAGGACCTTTTCATCAAAACAGGGGGAAGTCTTGATACATTATTTATGTTTTGATGAAAACACCTTCTTGTTTAAACATTAGTCTGTGTTTAAACACTTTTGACGGAAATTGCGTGCGAAGAAGATGAAGAAGATGTTTTGGCGAAGCTTTCCGGCGACTCCTCCTCTGGACGGAAATTGCGTGCGAAGAAGATGAAGACATGAGGAGGGCCGTACATATGCCACACTTCCTAATTGTAACGGAAATGGTTTCCTCCCCTTATTTATTAGAGTAATGATAGAGTCACAAACAAACAGTTCACAAAATTCACAAACTTACCTTTTTAACACTTTTCTAGAAATAAGATGCACTCAAATTATAAAAGATATTTTATTTTAAAATCCACAAAAGGCAAGTTTGTGAAGTTTGTGAACTATATGTTTGTGACTCTAGCATCTTCCTATTTATTATTGTTATTATTATATTATTAAATCTCTTTACATTAATTCATTGAACTTTATTGACTATTTCCCTCACCACGGTTCAAACGAAATTCTAAACCTGACAAATTATATGTCGTTGGTCGCTTTTTCTCGAGACATATTCGAAAACCTAATTTTTAATTAAAATGGTCAACCTTACAAATAATTCATATTTGGAGTCAATAAATAGTATATTTTTTTTCATTAAAATAACGGCTCAGTACTAAGCCGATTTTTCAGGGCATTACATTTCTCTCCCCCTTAAGAGAATTTCGTCCCCGAAATTCTTCTAAGGTAAAGAGTGTAAAGTAAATGAACTTCTACACATTTTTTTTAAAAAAAGAAAACAATACATATTTTTTTCCTTTAAAAGATATCATTTTAAGGAGTAGTCAAAAACACTTTTCTATTTCACCCCAAACATTTCTTTTTAATCAAAAGTAGGCAATTCATCCCCAACTTCCCAAAAGTCAAAATACTCTTTTTTTGTAAAAGAGATCATTTTAATCTTTGATACAATGTTTTTCTGATTCAGATGTTTTGATTTGAAATCACTAGGTTATTATTTTTTTTCAACCATTTAAACGACAATTAAATATTTTTCTCAAATCCAGAGTAAACAATTTAAGGCAATTATTATTTTTTTAAATACCAAATACCATTTTTTTCCAACAAGGTAGTCATCGACAAGATTTATTTGTAACTGTTTTTTTTGGAAAGCACATTACCCCTTTTTTTACATATTAATTTGTATTGCTCTCGCCTATCACCGAAATAAAACATCCTCATTCATCCGGGTCTGCAGCCCCTTCCGAACCAGGTTGTGATTTCAGTAATCGACGAAACTATTGAATTTTGAATAAAATATTTTATTTATTTTTGAACATTTTTTTAAAGAATTAACACACCAATTGTTCTAATGAAAAGTAAGTAATTACTTTGAAATCTTATTGCCAAAATGCTATATTATTATTTTTTTCCTTTTTAAGAAGGGAGTTTTTTTACGTAGTTTTTTTTTCTTTGATTTGTTCACTAAGGTACTTTGAATGAATAATCAAACAATCCTCTTTCTTTTGTAAAAGTCCAATTTGCATTTCAAAGTTTTAGCAAGGCAACTCCAAAACGATTCTTTTGACACAACTTTTTGTCGCCTACGCGCTTGGTGTAAGCACGTGACGCAGTATTTGTTTTGTGACATGACGCACTAGTCGTCATGGATAATTGTGAATAATTGAGATTTTTTTTACAATTTACTTTCTAGGTTCTTTTTACCATTTTTTTTCCATAACCAACACGATTGAATTCTTTGAATCTTCTCTTACTTATGTTTTTTTTACACATGAATTCCTCTTTTTATAGATAAACCACATGTTAATTAACTAACAAATCAACTAACAATCTAGAATACTATTTTAACATAATCACATAATAAGGATTCAGAGTTACCTCCTGGAGCAGTGACGTCGCGAAGCTGTGGATGCCCTTTTTTGTTTTTTATTTTTTGAATTGTTTTTGTAAATAAATTCACATTTTGTTTTTTTTCGAAAATCATTTATAAAACCATATGCTCCGATACCAAAATGTAACACCCCAACCCGCGTAACCCGAAACAACGAGTTAGCGAGTCGGGTTGCTACTAATTTGGTATTCACATGCATAATATTTTAAAAACACTTAGAAATAAAACAAACATTCATATTTATTGAAAAACAATTCATTATTTAATCGGAGTAAATAATTGATCATTTAATCGGAGGGCCGTACATATGCCACCGTTCCGAATTGTAACGGAAATGGTTTCTTCCCCTTGTTTATTATTGTTATTATTATATTATTAAATCTCTTTACATTAATTCATTGAACTTTATTGACTATTCCCCTTACCACGGTTCACACGAAATTCTAAACTTGACAAATTATATGTCGTTGGCAGTCTTTTCTCGAGACCTATTCGAAAACCTAATTTTTAATTAAAATGGTCAACCTAACAAATAATTCATATTTGGAGTCAATAAATAGTATATTTATTGTTTTTTCATTAAAATAACGGCTCAGTACTAAGCCGGTTTTCAGGACGTTACATTTCTCTCTCCCTTAAGAGATTTTCGTCCCCGAAATTCTTCTAAGGTAAAGAGTGTAAAGTAAATGAACTTCTACACATTTTTTTAAAAAAAAACAATACATATTTTTTTCCTTTAAAAGAAATCATTTTAAGGAGTAGTCAAAAAAACTTTACTATTTCACCCCAAACATTTCTTTTTAATTAAAAGTAGGCAATTCATCCCCAACTTCCAAGTCAAAATACTCTTTTTTTGTAAAAGAGATCATTTTAATCTTTGATACAATATTTTTCTAATTCAGATGTTTTGATTTGAAATCACTAGGTTATTATTTTTTTTCAACCATTTAAACGTCAATGAAATATTTTTCTCAAATCCAGAGTAAACAATTTAAGTCAATTATTATTTTTTTAAATACCAAATACCATTTTTTTGCAACAAGGTGACTGATCGACAAGATTTTTTTGTAACTGTTTTTTTTGGAAAGCACATTACCCCTTTTTTTACATATTACTTTGTATTGCTCTCGCCTATCACCGAAATAAAACATCCTCATTCATCCGGGTCTGCTGCCCCTTCCGAACCTGGTTGTCATTTCAGTAATCGACGAAATAATTGAATTTTGAATAAAATATTTTATTTTATTTTTGAACAGTTTTTTTAAAGAATTAACACACCAATTGTTCTAATGAAAAGTAAGTAATTACTTTGAAATCTTATTGCCAAAATGCTATATTATTATTTTTTTCCTTTTTAAGAAGGGAGTTTTTTTTACGTAGTTTTTTTTCTTTAATTTGTTCACTAAGGTACTTTGAATGAATAATCAAACAATCCTCTTTCTTTTGTAAAATTCCAATTTGCATTTCAAAGTTTTAGAAAGGCAACTCCAAAACGATTCTTTTGACACATTTTTTTTGTCGCCTACGCGCTTGGTCTAAGCACGTGACGCAGTATTTGTTTTGTAACAAAACCGCACTAGTGGTCATGGTTAATAGTGCATAACTAAGATTTTTTTTACAATTTACTTTCTAGGTTCTTTTTACCATTTTTTTTCCATAACCAACACGGTTGAATTCTTTGAATCTTCTCTTACTGAAGTTTTTTTTACACATGAATTCCTCTTTTTATAGATAAACCACATGTTAATTAAAAAACAAATCAACTAACAATCTAGAATACAATTTTCACATAATCACATAATAAGGATTCAGAGTTACCTTCTGGAGCAGTGACGTCGCGAAGCTGTGGATGTCCTTTTTCCTTTTTTCTTTTTTGAATTTTTTTTGGAAATAAATTCACATTTTGTTGTTGTTTTTTTTTCAAAAATTGTTTTTAAAACCATATGCTCCGATACCAAAATGTAACACCCAAATCCGCGTAACCCGAAACAACGAGTTAGTGAGTCGGATGGCTACTAATTTGGTATTCACATGCATAATATTTTAAAAAACACTTAGAAATAAAACAAACATTCATATTTATTGAAAAACAATTCAACATTTAATCGGAGTAAATAATTGAAATGTTGCGGAAGCCTTCAAAAACAACATTCAACATTCTAGTGATCTAAGTAAACAAATTCAACAAACTATATTTAATTTAAATAAAACAGCTTCGGCCATCCACCAGCGTCATGCTTCACTGTCCTCCAGGCTGTTCCTCATCCAATCCTTGATTTCTACCTGTAAAAAATATGGAGAGTGGAAGTATCTAACGCTAAAACTAACTCATAGACTAGTACTCCTTAATATATAATCAAACAATATCGGAAGAATCAGCAAATATCATTATCCAATTGTACCACTATATACCCGTATGATTCAGTTTAATTCTTATGCATTCTTACTCCATCTGCCTGCTAGATATAATCCAATTCATACTTACGGGAGTAATGGAATCCAGGCTCTCGCCCAAACCCACACTCATAACTCCAAAGCTCTCGCAATGGAGGGAGTTGAGGCCCCCGCTGGCTCTCGCCAGGGGTCAATGACCACCGTGCGCACGTTTTTAACCCTCGAGACCAACGGATGAACGACGTCACCCGCATGACCTTAATTTCTAATCTCAGCCTTTTTTTTTGAAATTTCCAATGTCCACTTAAACTCAAATCTACCTAATATTATAAAGGGTCTAATGTAGTTATAATCAATTATTACTTAATAGATTTGAATAGATTTGGGTTACTTCTTAAAGTCAAATTGTAATGGAAGGCTGATTTGCAAATAGTTTGGAAATTTGGGGCTAATCTATAAAATTCAAAAACTAAATGAATAAACTCCCCAAATGAACTCAGTCAGTCTACCTTCTTCTCTGATGGACCGATATGGCGAAGCCGCGGCGAAAGTCCAGCGACGAACGTTACAGCGACCACCCTCCTCCGCGGTCATCTGACCCGCGACGATTTCCGGCGAGACACATCCGCAACGTCAATCCCAGCAGCGGCTAAACAAACGGAAGTCAAGAGGAGGGGGCAGAGTGCAGTGGCAACGACGACCCACCGGCAGTAGCAACTCCTCTGACATGGCAGCAGCCTCCTCGGCGGTGGAAGACCCGACGACGACTCTACTACTCGGCCGTGACAGCGGCATTCGAACCCAGAGCAGAAAAACGGAGCAGTGTTCGGACAGAGGCAAGGAAGAAACAGAAGAAAACCCAGATTCCAGTTCTAAACCCGATTCCAATTCCAATTCAATTCAACATAATCATTCACCCAATTTCAACAATCATATTTACAAATTCAATGTCAATTGAATGAAGATATATTAACGAATCCCAATCTATGAATTAATTTTAACGGGAGATAAATCACTCACCTCAATTGACAAAGTAAACACCGGCCGATCTCTGTAGAACTCCGACGATGAACCCGATGTACGGCGAAGCCTTCCGGCGACTCCTCCTCTAGACGGAAATTGCGTGCGAAGAAGATGAAGATAGGAGGAGGGCCGTACATATTCCACCGTTCCTAATTGTAACGGAAATGGTTTCTGTAATGCCCCAAAACATACCTTAGAATTATTAATAGATAATTATTAAAATAAATCAAATTTGTTTTGATTAAAATAAATTGTTATGGGCTTTGGGCCGATAAAAATATGTTTTGATATCCCATATCATAATCAGGATAAATCTCATAGAGATAAATCCAATTTATTGACTATTTGTGTGGTCTTGATTGGGAACCTGAGTACAGACCCAAATCAAGAATAAATGAAAAAAATTAATTATGATGTGAACATTAAAATGATTTATTGAAATAAATGATGAGAATAATTAATATGAATTAAATAAGAGAACCTTTTTGAATAAAGGTCAACTGAATCAATTTTTACTCTATCAAAGTCAACCACCCAAAAATATGATGTCGGAAAAAGTATTACAAATAATTGTGAAAAGTATATCGTTGAATAGAATTCAACTGTCTGATCGCAATGGTGCGAACGGATTTCAATTTCGAGAAAGTTGGATCAAAAAGTGTACCCTGACTGGAACCAAAATTGGTCCTAATCAGGGACACAGTGGAGACGGCGCCTCCCAGCGCACTGATTCATTTCCTACGTAGAGCTACAACTACATGACTTGTCTTCTTCTTCTTCATTTCCTATATAAGGAGGAAAAAAAAACCAGCTTCCAAATCTGCACCATTCCTTATAAAATTAATCCCATTAGAATCCTAAGAGTGAGGAGAGCATTTTGCAATAGTTTGTTGCCGCCAAAGTCACCAGAGCAAGCCGTGGTGTTTGCCGGAAGTTTCATCGTCCAATCGCCGGAATCATCGTTAAGCTTCGAAGTAAGCCCGTAGATATATCTAATGACTAGAATGTTCATATAGGTCGTTTCTACGTTCATAAATGGTCATTTGGTTGAGTTTTGTGTTTGACATGCTTGAAGAACTAAGAATCACAAACCATGATTTTGATGTTAAAATTATGAATTAATGATGCGAAAATGATCCATGAACGTTGGAGAACATTTTTATATACTTTAATTGAAGTTTTGTGAGTAAAAGTGACATTTCCGCAAGTTGGCGGTAGAAGACGGTGTATAATCGATTATCAACTTGAAAATCGAGTATTCATCGTTCTACAGATTTTTTGAACAAAGCTGAGCAACAGTCGATTATCAGAATGTGATAATCGGCTGCCAGCCCTCTCTGAAGTTTGATAATCGATTATCAGAGTGTGATAATCGATTATCAGCCCATTCTGAACATCAGACAGTAGATTATCAGAAGTGACAGTAGACTGTCACCCTACACTATTGAAGAAAATGAAGCTAATAGCTAATAATTGAATTTCCTATCATATATTAATCAATTGTTATTTAGAAAATATGATTTTTGAGTTATGGAATCCTATATTTTGATACCAAACCATTATGATTAATAATATGATGATTTCTTGGAATAAAGATGGTATTTTAACAACTAAAAGGGATCTTATGTGATGCATGATGGTAAGCTAGGGTGTTAACACTCGATGCTAGGCCGCTGATTGTTATTAGTTATTATGATGATTGATTGATTGTTCATTTTTATGAATATTATGGATTAATGATGATGAATATTCAGGATGAAATGATTGTTGAACTAAGAGTATGAATTGATGAATAATGTTGTTAAGGATATCTAGAAGAACTTTAAGATATACCTATTAGCTAATTAATGTTAAGACTATCTAGAAGACCTCTAGAATAGATCTTAGAAGAACACTGTAATCCTGGCAGCAGATGGGGCGAGATTGTCGGGATGGATGTGACAAGTTTGAAATGATTTATGATATGTCAATATTAAAATCGCTTCCGCAATATTGTTGAATACTCCGTACTGTATATGTTATGAAAAATATTATTGGGATTAATAAAGTGTGTTTGAAAAGTTTTAAATTTTTACGATTACCAAGTTAAATACTTTAGTCCGAATGGGGCTGCAGACGTGGACGGATTAGGGTGTTACAGTTTTGTATCGGAGCAAATGGTTTTAAAACCGATCTTCAGATCAAAATTTGAATTTAAAAAAAATGTGTCAGTCACATCTACGACTCTCGCATCCCTCTGCTCCAGAAAAGGTATGAGAATTTATTAGATAAATATTGACTTTGTTAAAATTCTCATTAGATAACAATTGTTAGTACTGAAATTATATCGAGCATAGACTCAAGTAGATTTTTTGTACTCGGTGAAGAGACGAAAGAATAAAAAGAAAAATTGTGATACGTTATCAACGTACTTATCATATCGCGATTGAGGAAGCTGATCTATCTCGCAAAGTCGCATAGAAGTAACACGACTATGAAGAAACGCCTAATGTTGAATAACATTCGCGAAGCTGCTGTCAAAGATCCTCATGTGGACTGAAGACGATCGGATTGCTGATTTAAACACGAACGTTTAGAATCAATAAACTTTTTTGTCTAAAAGTATCCCATTCTGATGTCTAACTCATTACAACACAATATGCAATTATACTGTGTGAATCGAAATCGTTCGTTCAGCAACAATTCCTTGCAAAACTTTATCATACAAGGAAATTGACGTTATCCTTATTTCGTATCTATGACTTATTGGATCTGCTTAGAGAATCCATTGTGCTCTCTAAGATTGACTTACGGTCAAGGATACTAGCACATCTCTGTTAAGATAGACAAACTGATGATCAAGAATCGCTACCCTTTATTATGTATTGACAATCTGTTCGGTCAAATTCAAAGGAACCTACTTGCTAGAAGCTATGGATAGCTCAATCTTGTTGAATGAAGTGACACATTGTTATGACACGATTAGTGACTTAAACATCGATATAGTCTGAATAAATATCCGTTGTCAACTCGTCAAGAATCCTAACGAAGGAATTTCTATTATTGTAGCATGAGTCAAGAAACCGCTCACGATCAAAGTAACCAAGCGCCAAGCGATGGACACGAAAATGTTCATATTGAAGTATCTAGTTTCACACCTCCTATTCAAAGTGAACAAGTGAACTCACTACATGTTCCCCAAAATGATCAAAATATTGGAGATCAACCTGACGCTATGCTACCTACCTTAATGGTAAACTTCTTACAACAAATGACTAATGCCCTTGTGTTTCAACCACCTCCACCACAACCTCGTTTGATCACTTTCAAAACCTTGAAAGATAATGGTGCTGAGGAGTTCCTGGGAGATCGAATTTCCGAACCCCAAATTGCTCTTGAATGGATCGAGCACACCGCTCGTGTACTACAAAATTTGAACATACCTCTCGTTGATCATCCAAAATTTGCATCTCAATTGCTCCGCAAGGAAGCCTACGAATGGTGGAAACGTACTGACGAAAATCCAAACACACCCAAACCTTGGACTTGGGAATTCTTCGATTGGGCGTTCAAGAAGGAATATATACCAGCTCGATTCCGTGAAGAGAAGCGTGCTGAATTTATCGAGTTAAAGCAAGGAGATATGACACTCCCTGAATACCGACAAAGATTTGTCCATCTCGCTCAATTTGCACCCACGCTGGTGAGTACAGCGGCGGACCGCATTGAGGAGTTTCGCAAAAGACTTCGACCTGACCTCAGGCCGCACGTATCTACTATTCAAACTATGGATTTCATTGAGGCATACGATCTAATCTCCAAAGCCGAAAAAGATCTAAGTGATTACTAGGAAAGTCTGAAGACTGAGAGTGTTAATCCAAATGAAGACCAAATACAAGTGGGAAGAGACCCTTGCAAGAAATTGATAGTGCCATTCACTCGAAAAAGGGAAAATCAATGACAATTCAATCGACGTNCAAAGCCGAAAAAGATCTAAGTGATTACTATGAAAGTCTGAAGAATAAGAATGTCAATCCAAATGAACGACCAAATTCAAGTGGGAAGAGACCCCTGCAAGAAATTGATTGTGCCATTCACTCGAAAAAGGGAAAATCAATGACAATTCAATCGACGTCATCCATGAACAAAATGAGGGTATGGAAACATCCAAAGTGTAATGTTTGTAAAAGACACCATCCGGGAGATTGCTGGCTTGCACAAGGATTATGTCTAATTTGTGGTGAACCTGGACATTTCCGACGAGAATGTCCCTCTAACCCTGAATCATATTTAGTTACTTCTGTCCAAAATCAACCTGTTCGCTCAGGAACAAGTCAACGCTCTAAAACACGAAGCAATTCAAAGAGTCCAACCCAAGGATGATACTCTGTGAAGATCCTAAAGTGCTACAAGGGCTCGAGGATATATTGACTAATGTAGAAACCTTATGTAAACAAGAAATTAGCTTTCGATTTGAATCTCAAGAATATTCGTATTTTCTTGAACCTACGTGTGTTGAAACCATTGTGTAATGAAATCTTTCATTTGACCCATCTTGAGAAATGTTTGATATTTACATGATGCATTCTGACGTTGAAAATAGATATTTTTCTGACTTGCACTGGCCATGCAGCTTAGAATAATACTTATGGTTAACTCATAATCTTCATGGACAATATTATTTCAACATAAATTCAACTGAAATTACATAAAGTAATATTACAAATGCAAGTCTATGTCCAATGCCCTAGGATTTACAAATTCGTCATAACTAGCCCCAGGACCCTGAAAAGCTTTAGCAAACGCTAGCTTGTCTAAAAGCTCATCAATAAAGAAAGAAGAGACGAAAAGTTTTCTCTGACTAGGAGCCATGAAGTTCTGCCTCACCGCGTCATCTAGAAATTTAATTAGGTTATTAAAATAACCGTCAATATTCAAGAGGCCAATGGGTTTACTGTGCAACCCTTCACATGCCCATGAGATCAAAGTGAACAAACCTTCCATAGTATCAATCCCTCCAGGAAGTACGATGAAGGCCTCCACTACATGATTCATCTCGAAATGCTTATAGTAATTGCTGGAAACTGTGTATTTTGCACTATACGTAGGTCCGTAGACCTGTCGTGCTGCTATGTACCCTGGTATGAAGCCTCTAACTATACCACCATTGGTATAGACTGTTGAAGCAACATCTCCTTGAAGGCCAACGTTGTCTCCTCCATAGGTAAGTCTAATTTTTCGCCTTACCAATTCCCTTCCTAAATCCACCGCCGTAGCCATGAACTTTGGATTTCTACCAAGAAAATGCCTACCAAGTAGACCAACGAATTTTATGGTGTAAGGAAAAGTTCGAGATGTTCCTTCCATAATGTGAGAATGTGAAATGCTCTGGCCACAATCGTGATATATATAGGCTCTGAAAACCTGACCTTTGAAAAAGAGTAGTTATCCTCTGTCAAAATTTGTACAGCAAAGATGGATTTGATTTACCTACAGATGAGGACGTGCTCATTAATGCTATAGTCTGCTTATGATATGACATATTGAGACTCATGAACAGTTAGATTCGCTGTCCTGAAATACGTTCAAATCTGAGACGAAAAGTCAAAATGGCTAATGCCTTAAGACAACGACCATTTAAATAACTTGAAAGCTTACGACGTATGAATTGATATACCTTCCAAGTTTTCAAGTATGCCTATCATGAACCTTCTATGAAGGATATTGAAGAACTTTTCAATCAAGAAAAGAAATTCCGTTGAGCAATGACGTGCAAACGAGACTCGTGATTGAATGAAGTTATGTATATGTCAAGTATGCAATACTAGACACTACGAAGGAACTTTTGTCATCAATACCAAAGGATCAGTGAAGACCTTGCTTAATCGAAAATTGTTAATCTCTCAAAGATTGAGCGAGTTTGGTGACATCAACAATTTGAGAATGCGTATCTATGAGACGTAACCATGTGGATATGATGCAATCATGATTAGATATGAATACAACAAGATGTTCATTGTGGACCTTAGAAGAATTTCGAGGACGAAATTCTTTTAAGGGGGGTAGAAATGTAACGCCCCAAAACATACCTTAGAATTATTAATAGATAATTATTAAAATAAATCAAATTTGTTTTGATTAAAATAAATTTTTATGGGCTTTGGGCCAATAAAAATATGTTTTGATATCCCATATCATAATCAGGATAAATCTCATAGAGATAAATCCAATTTATTGACTATTTGTGTGGTCTTGATTGAGAACCTGAGTACAGACCCAAATCAAGAATAAATGAAGAAATTAATTATGATGTGAACATTAAAATGATTTATTGAAATAAATGATGAGAATAATTAATATGAGTTAAATATGAGAACCTTTTTGAATAAAGGTCAACTGAATCAATTTTTACTCTATCAAAGTCAACCACCCAAAAATATGATGTCGGAAATAGTATTACAAATAATTATGAAAAGTATATCGTTGAATAGAATTTGACTGTCTGATCGCAACGGTGCGAACGGATTTCAATTTGGAGAAAGTTGGATCAAAAAGTGTACCCCGACTGGAACCAAAATTGGTCCCAATCAGGGACACTGTGGAGACGGCGCCTCCCAGCGCACTGATTCATTTCCTACGTAGAGCTACAGCTACAGGACTTGTCTTCTTCTTCTTCATTTCCTATATAAGGAGGAAAAAAAACCAGCTTCCAAATCTGCACCATTCCTTATAAAATTAATCCCATTAGAATCCTAAGAGTGAGGAGAGCATTTTGCAATAGTTTGTTGCCGCCAAAGTCACCGGAGCAAGCCGTGGTGTTCGCCGGAAGTTTCATCGTCCAATCGCCGGAATCATCGTTAAGCTTCGAAGTAAGCCCGTAGATATATCTAATGACTAGAATGTTCATATAGGTCGTTTCTACGTTCATAAATGGTCATTTGGTTGAGTTTTGTGTTTGACATGCTTGTAGAACTAAGAATCATAAACCATGAAATTGATGTTAAAATTATGAATTAATGATGCTAAAATGATCCATGAACCTTGGAGAACATTTTTTATATACTTTAATTGAAGTTTTGTGAGTAAAAGTGACATTTCCGCAAATTGGCTTGAGGTAGAAGACGGTGGATAATCGATTATCAACTTGAAAATCGATTATTCATCGTTCTGCAGATTTTTTGAACAAAGCTGAGCAACAATCGATTATCAGAATGTGATAATCGACTGTCAGCCCTCTCTGAAGTTTGATAATCGATTATCAGAGTGTGATAATCAATTATCAGCCTATTCTGAACATCAGACAGTAGATTATCAGAAGTGACAGTAGACTGTCACCCTACACTATTGAAGAAAATGAAGCTAATAGCTAATAATTGAATTTCCTATCATTTATTAATCAATTGTTATTTAGAAAATATGATTTTTGAGTTATGGAATCCTATATTTTGATACCAAACCATTATGATTAATAAAAGGATGATTTCTTGTAATAAAGATGGTATTTTAACAACTAAAAGGGATCTTATGTGATGCATGACGGTAAGCTAGGGTGTTAACACTCAATGATAGGCCACTGATTGTTATTAGTTATTATGATGATTGATTGATTGTTCATTTTTATGAATATTATGGATTAATGATGATGAGTATTCTGGATGAAATGATTGTTGAACTAAGAGTATGAATTGATGAATAATGTTGTTAAGGATATCTAGAAGAACTTTAAGATATACCTATTAGCTAATTAATGTTAAGACTATCTAGAAGACCTCTAGAATAGATCTTAGAATGAACTTATGAAAACATGAATAGTTGATGAATTAGATATAAATTCATAAACGGGATTCGTAGACCAAACTAGAGGATTACTCGTTGGGAATGCCCGATCCATTGTTGACCAATCGCTATATTGTTGTTGCCTTAAGTGACTACAGTTAAGTGTCCGAAATCATTTGCCTTAAACTAATAATAGTTTAAGTGTATGATTGCCTTACCTCACTACAGTTAAGTGTCCGAAATCAATTGCCTTAAACTAACGATAGTTTAAGTGTCTGATTAATAATTGCCTTTTAAGAATGTGATTATGGAAATTATGATTTGGCCTTAGACTAAGAATAGCTAAGATCATTATTATGATCTGGCCTTAGACTAAGAATAGCTAAGAGCGTTGTTATGATCTGGCCTTAGATTAAGAATAATTTAAGAGCACTATTGCAATAGTATCTGAATTGAATACAATGTGTTGATATGAACTGAACAATACCAAATTTGTGAATGTCTGAAATGAACATTGTGTGCATGATATCAAATGATTGATTATGAGTTTAGATTCAGTTGATATGGATGTTCGACACATTAGATATGCTTACTCAGCTTTACCGCTGAGCGTGTAGTGTGTTTTATTTGCTACACGCAGGTAAGCAGAAAGCATAATGTGATCCTGGCGGCAGATGGGGCGAGATTGTCGGGATGGATGTGACAAGTTTCGAAACAATTTATGATATGTCAATATTAAAATCGCTTCCGCAATATTGTTGAATACTCCGTACTGTATATGTTATGAAAAATATTATTGGGATTAATAAAGTGTGTTTGAAAAGTTTTAAATTTTTACGATTACCAAGTTAAATACTTTAGTCCGAATGGGGCTGCAGACCTGGACGGATTAGGGTGTTACAGTTTCTTCCCCTTATTTATTATTGTTATTAATATATTATTAAATCTCTTTACATTAATTTATTGAACTTTATTTACTAATTCCCTCACCACGGTTCACACGAAATTCTAAACTTGACAAATTATATGTCGTTGGTCGCCCATTGAAGCAAAAAAAAAAGAAGACCAGTTAGTTACAAAGAGTTGAAAGATGAAGAATATAAAGGAAAGTTGTGAAGGGCAATTGATTGACCTTTCTCCTTCTTCTTCTTCCCCGGGCG